GTCAAAATTGATCCAACATCAGACAGTAGTAGCCAACATCAGCCACCACTGAGCCTGTTGGAAACTGCAAGGCCGAGCTGGGTGAGCAGGTCACGCCTGTGAGAAGCCTCACGGGTGCCAAACAACAACCGATATTTTATTTCCTTGGAAGCGCATGGAGAAAAGTCACCTGGTTCCTCGTGCTTGCGATGTTGGAATTCATGCACAGAAGCGCCTTTCATGGCGCTACAAGAAAATGTCGCGCAATGCTAAGCAACCCTAGAAGTATAACCCAACATTAGCCTGTGCTGGCCACCACCTTCCTTAATTAGCATGCTAGAAACGTTATAAAAAGCAGCCGGCATTAGCTAACACTGAATGAACTTCATGTGCTAGTTGTAAACATAATCCAACACCATGCCAACGTAATCCAGTGCTTGCCAACAGCTAGCCAACACTAGCAAGCATTAGTCTCCGATTGCCACTATTGTCCATAAATTAGCATGTTACAGTTAACACCAGCTGACAGCCAACATTTGCAAAATGTCAGCATTATAGCCAACACTGAACCAAGCTTATCCAACTCTAGCCGACGTAGTTACGTAACGGCGCCATGAAGTCCATCAAAGTTACGGAGAAACGCAAAACACCAGCCGCTTGTATTTCGTATGTTGCTTCGAGATTTTATCGTACTTCGTGGCATCGTTTCGTAATTATGAATTCATACCGACTGGTTGGTCCTGCTACCCAGCATTTACCAACACCAGCAAGTATTAGCCAACATTAGCCAGTGCTGGCCAGCGGACAACACCAATCGTTAAAATTCGCTATTAGACAACGCTAGCCCGCAATTTTTTAACTAGTCCCAGTTTTGAGAACAAACGGTACTTGCCTGTTAGCAGGGGCGTAGTTAGAAATTTTTTCAGCGGTGGGGGGGGGGGGGGTGTTTAGCCATATGCTCGTGCGTGCGTCTGTATGTGTGCATGTATATACGCAAGATTCGGGGCGCAGAGGAAGAGTCCCTTCTTGGGGCTACTGATGTGTGCAGTCTGGCAAGACCCATCCCTCATAATTAAGTCAACGCATTCACCTTTTCGTAAACGCCTCCCTGGGCGCTGCCATAGCCCTCCTTGGGCTGTGCAAATTAGTGCGTCCCCTCGAAAATGCACTGACAACGCTGCGTCCTTAGCCTTTGTACTCCCGCGCACAGCCCATCATGGCGGTGTTTTTTTCCTTCCTGTGAAAAGGTGTATAGAGCCCCCCTCTTATGTGACCCCTTTCACCTTCGTGCTCCCGATCTCCTTTAAAGAGGAAAGGAAGGGTCGAGTGCACTCCTGCCACTGCTATAACTGATGCATATGTGCCTGTTATAATAATCATTCATGACACATAGCCCTAATTCACTGTAGTGTTTCAGCAGGGAAGCTCTGACATAACGTTCTACTTGAATGCGTATAAAACTATAAAAGTATTATGCACATGTAACAAATTGAACGTTTCTAAATGTCAGTCGATCGTTCGAAATTTATGCATTTCTACATGCTGTTCCGTGAGCTTGAGTTTCACGAATGGCGTCAGAAACCATGCCCAGAGTTTTTTTTTTTTTCTTTTTTGGGTACGAACGACAATTTAGGGCTCTCGCTCCGTGCTCTCTTCACTGATGTATCAACCTTCTGGGACACACAGAGAGAAGAAAGGACTACACAATGCTACAGAAGAATCTCATTGAAAATTTACTTTCGCGCCAATGGGCCAGATAATACAAAGCTGGAGCCCCTGCAGCGGACAAAGGGGCGCCCGAGAAGCCAGGCGCTCAGAGATCACCATCGATGTGCTTTTAAGGCGTGCGCTTCGAAAACTACCTGTTGAAGGCTATGATTATAGGGTTTTACTGTGCCGAAATTGCTTTCACTGTAGTAGAGCACACTGCAGGCACTTTTTTTTTTGCCGTCGGCGTCGCCGTAGTGTTCTATATAAAGCCCAAGTGTGATATGATAACGTCGCACCGCGCGTCGTACGTTTTATGTGAGAGAGAAAGCGCGCAGGGGTAGCCGACGATCTTCGATCAAACGGAGAGCAAACACGCCGACCGTCTTCTGTCGCGCGAAAGATCTACATAGGGGGACCACAGAAAGGAGTCCCATAAATTCCATCATGTTTTTCCCTCGTCTAAATGTGGTAGTCATGGTCGCGGTAGCCAAACCTCAGCATCGACTTCAGCGCCATGGGAAGTGGAATGCGGCCTAACCAACGTGTAGGCTGCCTGAAAATACAAAAGTCACCGCCCTTATACCCCGTAGAGATTGTAGACTCACAAATGATAGAAATCCACGTGCCATTTTGCTGTAGTGGGAAAAAAGACGACGATGAGGACTGTGTGACGCTCGTGAAGTTTGTGGCCTGTGTGGCGTTCGGTAGCTCGTGTGGCCTGTGTTTTCTTGAGAGTCAAGTAAATCCTTCCCCGTCTACAACGTCTCGGGTGTTTTGAAGACGCCGCAAGGCAACACAAAGCTGAAAGGGGGTGGTGCCATGGAGTAGCATCGGTTTGTTTACGACGCCGTGTTACCCACGCTATGAAATGGTATGGTCAGCTGTGTAGCACATATAGCGCAAATGTGGCTCTGAATTTCTGACGAAATGTTCAGAAAGTCCCTTTTGAATGCAGCATATGCTTCTTTAAGGTTTCCCCTTAAAAGATACTTCTTTTTGCCGCGATATGCGTCGCTTTGTCTGGCTTGTCGCACGCGCTTGGCGTCTCGTGCACGATATATCTTGAGAAGCCAGCAGCATGCGTTTTGTCTTGTTCTGTGGCCTAGTGCAAGACTGTGTCATATTCACTGAGGGATGACGCAGTCTTGCACTAGGCCACAGAACAAGACAAAACGTATGCTGCGGGCGTTGCGCATTGGCCACAATGCCGATCATAAAGTCAAATGTAAACGCCGTGTTCCTTTGAAGAAAAAAAAATCACAGCATATCCACGGAGTGAATGATTGGGGGGACTAAGCGTTCGTCAGTCCGTCCGTGCTTCCGCCCGTCCATGCGTCCGTCCGTGTGTCCGTGCATTCGTGTGACCGTCGGTACGTCCGCACGTCCGTCCGTACGTTTGTTCTTTCGTCTGTCCGTTCGTCCATCCGCCCGCCCTCTGTTTGTCTGTCCGGCCGTTCGTATATCTAGTGAACACTCCAAGTACAGACATGTCACACCTTTTCATCATGTATTCATCATACACAAGTGCCGCCACCCAGCGGATATTCTAAGGACCGCTCTTTCGGGTATGTGCCGCCTTTGGTTACGCATTACGAGGGACGCACAGGCTCCGCCATAATGAGCTTCGCCCCAAATGGGAGATGAATGAAACGCGAAGTCTTTTCACCACACGCTCTTTTTTGAGACGCTATAGTGGTTGGTAATGGCATTTGCCCAACGTCGGTGGCACATAGTCTTTTGATGATGATGATGATGATGAAGCCTCTACCATGGCTCATACCCCCTCAGGGGAATTGGCCAAGAATTTATTACATGAATTATTTCGATAGTCCGGTGGGGGAACGCGCAATTTAGAGCGCATGCTTTGGCGGCGACCCTCGTTACGTATTAATAAGTACCTCACAGGCACAAATGAAGCTCGGCCCTTAAGAGTTCGTAATAGCAGCATCAAATTTGGGCTGTTCATAGAGGCGGTGACGCGGCAGTTAGGCTATAGGTTCTACTAGGAGCGGCCTGCGGTGTCGCCCTAAGAGGTGACACTCATCCAGATCATTAAATAAAGTTTTTCGTAGCTTAGCGTAATATTTAGGTGGTCTTCTTCTGGCGGGCACTTCATTTTTGATGGAACAGTGGTGGGTAGTGAGGCTTGTCTAATTTGTGCGGCACATACCTGAGCTATAGAAACGGACATCCGTTGACAACTTTTCTTGGCACTGAAAGGAAAGCTACGGGGGCGGAGCTTCTGCACATGTAGCACTACGCAAAGTAGCCCGAAGTGGCGCGCTTCTCGTATATGTAGCGCTATGAAAAGTGGCGGGGGAGCACCAACAGCGTTTCATGTAGACGCAGACGCCGCTCAGCGTTTGAGGTGCACGTAAAAAAAGGCGGGACTTTCTCGCGCGCTCAGAAACGTGAAGTAACAACGAGTAAATTAAAGGAAATACGAATATCTTACTTATGTGAGCTGCGTCCTGTCTCAAATGTCTCCACGGAGAAAATAACGGGGAACTTTTTATATTTCACGTAGAAAATATGAACGCTATTGTGGAACTGATTTCGCTGGTGGTATAGGATACACGCGATTTGGCCCTGTAGCCTTCCCTTTAATGCCAAGAAAAGTTTGATGATTGATATGTGGGGTTTAACGTCCCAAAACCACCATACGATTATGAGAGATGCTGTAGTGGGGGGCTCCGGAAATTTTGACCACCTGGGGTTCTTTAACGTGCACCCAAATCTGAGCACACGGGCTTACAACATTTCCGCCTCCATCAGAAATGCAGCCGCTGCAGCCGGGATTCGATCCCGCGACCTGCGGGTCAGTAGCTGAGTACCTTAGCCACTAGACCACCACGGCGGGGCAATGCAAAGAAAAGTTGTCGCCGAGTATAATTTGCAGAGCTCCGCTGTAAATGTAATGCCCACTTCATCGTGTCTTTCATAAGTGCTCGTGCGCACGCAACTTGCGCACGATTAGCCAAGCACGCACGAATAGAGACTGTGTAAATAACAACATCACATGTACTTTATGGATTCAGCGTAAAATTAAGTACATACAAACACCTTTCGTACGTCGTCACTGTCGAGGTTGGATTGATGACTGCATTTTACACTCAACTAAATGGGTACGTTGTACAAGAAGCTGTTCAGATATTAAACGGTCATTCAACAACCACACAACAAAAAATTGCAGCATAATTATCAACAGTATACAGCGGCCTGCGCTTGGCGTCTTCTCGCAAATTGCAGCTGGCTATCTCTTTAAATCCAAGACATGCATTCTGTGGTGGAGGCTGCCAGCTATGCCGCAGTCTGAATCGATTATACAAAAAGTAAGTCTCGCTATCACAACGATTTTTTTTTCATACAGAACGCATCAATTCGTTACTGAAAGCAGTGCGTTGACTTCGTTATTTTTGTCTATGTTTCGTTTGAGCAGTATGCAACCATTACTTCAGAGCCACCGTTGGCGTACATGTACGCACAGGAATGAGCCTGCTAATCCACCTGTGCCATAAACTGAATGTTGCAGAACAATTGAAGCATATCGCTCGATACTAAAGTGCAGCAATACGTCCATACCTACTCCTTAAATATGCTGTTCTACAGACAGACGCAGGTTCATCGTCGACATGCAGTCCTGGAATAGTCGTAGAAGAAGCACCGTATACACTGAGCGGGAATGTGCCTCCTGGCTCAAGTGTCAATTTTCATTCACGAGAATATCGCTTGGCAACACATACTGCTTCACGTGTAGGATGCGTACCTACACACGCTACGTGTACGCTCCAACAGCTAACCCACCGGTAGATTGCGCTCGTTGAGTCGCAGTTCACCGTCCTCGTCGCCATTGTACAGTCTCTCCATGCGCTCCCTGGTCATGATCAGCGCCATCATTTCGACGGCCTTGGCATGGATCGCGCTCAGCGGTGGCAGGTTCGTGGAATGTAGCGACACTAGCAGGTCGAACAGGTCCGACGAGTAAGTGATGGGTACCCTCGGGCATGGCGGGCTCGAAACCAGTCGAAGAAGAGCCCTTCGCTTCGCATCTTGGGCGACGCTACCAGCCCGGAGATGTCCGTCGACGTCGAAGTAGACTTCCGCTCCGTCAACGCGATGCTGGCTAGGCGCGTGAGAACGAATCCGAGGCACATGACCGACGCGCTTGACGGCGAGTTGGCCTGGAGCTCGTAGTGGCCGCCGATGTTGACCTTGTCGCCCAAGAAGATGGACTGTACCCTGTTGCGGATCGGCGAGGCGTCCACGCACGACTTCCACGTGAGCTTGTTGTCCAGGTGCAAACGGTCGCGCACCAGGTAGACGTTCTTGAGGTCGAAGCGTCCGAACGAAAGCTGCCTCTCCTCAACGTACATGATGACGGATGAGAGCTGCTCGGCGACTTTCCAGAGGAAGTACTCCGGAAAGCAGAGTCCCTGAGACACGAGGAAGATCTCGAGTCGTTTGAGCGTCGCGTCCGGCATCTCCATGATGAGGAACACGTTGGACGTGTCGGCGTCCAGCGCTAGAGCGTAGACACACATTAGGTTGGGGTGCGCCAGCTCGACCCATTGCCAGAAGTCTTCGTTGCTGAGCTGCACCGAATTGCAGGTGCCGGCGTGCGCGGCCATGTACTCACCGCCGTCCAGCACGCACCGGACGCGGTAGGTGAGCGCGCGGTGGTACATGTGAAAGTCGAACATGTCCTTGAATGGCGCACTCTCGATTTCCAGGAAGTCCTGGGTGCTGAGAGTAGTCAGCCGGCGCCTGATGAGCGGCGGCAGCGTGGGTAGGTCGCTGCCCTTGAGGCGACGCAGCGTGGTCACCTTGATCACGGCCCGGTAACACAGGTCTTCCAGCGTGTGCGGCGTTCTGCGCACCGGCTTCGGCACGGCGCCTTCCTTGGGGAATGGGTGGTAAACGTGCCTACCCTGGCTCAGTCCGTGAACCAGGAGCTCCATGACGGGGCACCCACGACGTGTGCTCCGGGTTGTACGGCGGTGGCCCCCCGCTGCTTGCCTGCAGGTACCCCCGGAGGTGCTGTGTCAGCGGAGCCGACCACATCCGGTGGGGGGGAGGTACGCGCCGCGGGCCCTTACGGCCGAGGCCCTTCTGCTTGCTTGCAGCTGCCCGCTGGGACCGTGCTGTGCTGGCGGCGGGCGGCCGCTCTGAAGAGCGCGCGCGCCCAACAGCCTTTCTGGTCGGCTTTGTCTTCGACTCCGTCTTCGTTGTCTTCCGCAGGCAGCGGTGCGCCTAGCGCGCGCCGCTCGGAGCGCTTCTTCTTCGCCCTCCCCGCCGTCTTTCCAGGGAGAACCTCGTGATCACGCGGTCGAGCGCGGGCGCGCGCGCCAGTGAGTGTGGAGCCGTATTTATAGCCGAAGACGCCGTCGACTTCGCGCTCGGCCAAGGGAAGAGATTGACGTCGGCCCGCGAACGAGAATCCGCGGGCCGGCGCTGATGCGGTGCCCTTAGCAACTCGCTGACTGCTGCCACGCCGGGCGAGCTTTGCATCGCTCCGCTCCCGCGATGCAGGAAGAGGTTGCGTTTTCTTCTCCAAGGGTGGGGTAAGACTTCGGACGCAATTAGAGGAGGCACGAGACTGCCTGCGCGTGTGTCTCCACTTTTACTGCTGCTTTTTTTTTTAACGGCGTGCTTCGTTCTTTTCTCGGAAATCAAAGAAAGAAAAAAATAGAAGCGTGGTGCTCGTTTCTAGCCGGAGCTCGGGCCCGCTGGTTTTCTCCGGCTGTATATACGCCGGCGTGTAAAAAGGCGGCGTGTTTAGTGCCGTCGCTTGTTTACGGTCGGACCGAAGCCAAGTGCGGAGGGCCTTGTGACGTCATAGAAGGCTGCGACTGTTGCGCGCCTGGGTCACTGAGGAGGATGTTTTGGGTTTCACGTGGGAAATGTCTTCATATACGCACCGTTGCTCAACTTTGGGTCATACGCAGCCCGTTCCTCAGGCTTACCCCCCGAGCACTTGGACAACTCTATTAAGCGGAAGTCACGCGCACTCTTAAAAAAGACAAAACAACGACAACAGTAAGGACAACGCTGCATGGTTACTCTTGTTTGTGTGTTCCGACTGCTACCCACATATATAACTCTATCCGAAGATACACGTGAGTTCTCTTTGGAGGTCATAAGCAAAAGAGGAGGTCTGAAAATTAACATGCATAAAACTAAAGTATAACGTGCAAAAGTCTCGATAGAGAACAATGCTTTGCGATTGGTGGCGGGACACCGGAAGTTGCAAATGAATACGTCTACTTAGGGCAGGTATAGTAACCGCGGAGTCGAACCATGAGTGTGAAATAACTAGAAGAAAAATGATGAAGTGGATCACATTTGGCAAGAATTCACAAATCGTGAATGGTACTCTACAACATCCCTCAAGAGGAAGGTGTGTACCAGCTGCATCTTAACGGTACTAACCTGCGGAGCAGAAACCAGGAGGATTATAAAGAGTGTTCAACTTAGGTTGAAGACGACGCAGTTGGCGATGGAAAGGGAAACTATAGGTGACACGAAGAGACAAGAAGAGAGCAGAGTGGGTCAGGGAACAAACTGTTGTTAAGGATATCATAGTTGAAAACAAGGAGAAATGGAAATGGGCCGAGCACGCGGCGCCTAAGCGGGATAACCACTGATCATTAAAGGTAACTGACTGGATTCCATGAGAAGGCAAACGCGTGGGTGCGAGACAGAAGATTAGGTACGCAGATGGGATTAGGAATTTTGCAGGTAGAACGTGGCAGCACAAAGCACGGGACCGGGTTTATTGGTGGAACACGGAAGAGGCCTTTGCCTTGCAGTGGCCGTAGTTAGGGTGATGATTTACTCCTTTTTGAGAGTCGTGGGACGCATGTCTCTCCAAAAGGGAGTTAACGTGTGTCTTTAAACGGAGTTATGCATGCGGCAAATGAAGAATGACAAAGAGGTGTAAGATGAGAGTTCTGTTCTTTTTTTTTTTAACAGCGAGACCAGTCTTGGTCGAGCCTTTCGTGTCCGGGTTCCATGGTAACGCTTGTGGGCATCATAAACGGGTATGGACCACATAATATGGGTAACCCCGCTATACTCACCAATGGTCCACTGACAATGAAGGCACCAGTTTTCCAAACCAAAGGGTACGTGCCACAAAAATTTGTGTGGCCTAGCGGGAAACTATCATCATCATGAAGGCGTATATGCCACAGAAATCGGATATATCCCACGACACACGACTTGCAATCGGATATATCCCATGACACATGACTTTCATTGTAGCGCGCAAAAGTGTAAACTTTTGCGCGCTACAATGAAAGAAAATCGACGAAGAAAGAAAAAAGGAAACAGGACAACACAGGCGCGAGTGTTTGCAAGTGTACGACACATTGCACGACATTAAAAAAAAAATTAAGCTTGAGTGTCATTCTCCAATCACAACGCCGAATGGTCGGAGCGTGGGGCTCATGCGCAGGTAGACAGATGTTCAGTTCTATCACGGGGCAGTACACACGTACGTCAATTTTTTTAACTTATGTAAGTTCCTTAGCTTATGGGACCGGCGTGCCACTCACCGGCTACGCCACTTCCGCACGAGATTCCGCGTAGACAGTACGTGCAGAGACAGGCAGAGAAGAGACGTTTTATGACGTCAGAGCCCGACAAGTAACGTATTTCACAAACTCCGCTAAGCTGCAGCACATCGTCACCTCTCTTTTTCGCGCATCGCTTCTCCGCAGCGCTGTGGAGTCCCCCGTCCGCGTCTTGTGCGCATTTACCTTCACGTCCGTCTCGCAACTGTCTCGTGTGCGCACATCTCCTAAGCTCCGTTTTAGTTCAAACACGCTCCCTCACTATTTTTATTTTTTGACTTCCAGTTTTGTTCCGTTTTCTTTGGTAAACATGGTCGTTTCCACAGCTCCGAGCTTTTGTTTCTGTTTCTTGGAAGCTGAAGCGTTTAGAATGGAAGGAGGGCAAACTGGAGAGGCAGAGGAGAGCGCGCAAGGCGCAACAACCCTTGGGCGACCTTGGGGCAGACGCTCGCATGCGACCCCAGTTAGTACTTGGGGGCCCGGAAGTGCGGCACAGCATAGGCCGCCGTCGAGCCAATGGCCTGGCGACGGGGTTACTTCGTAACGGTGGCGCTGCGGAGGATTCGGCAGAATACAGGAGCGCAAAGAAAAAAAAAAATACCGCCAAGGAGACAAGTTTTGACGCTCAACGACCGCGGATGTCAAGTGAAACAGGCGAACTGTCGACGGCTGTTGGCTGGCTGCCAGATTTATTTATTCTGCGACGCTTAGCTCGAAAAGTCGGGGTGATTTCGTTCACTGAGCATACACTTACGCTGGACCCGCAACGGCGAATACACAGTGCTTGTGAACAACACGTTTTGGATTTTAGGGGCGAAGCTCCTTATTCCACGGGTCGTGCGTCCACGATGTATGTTGTAGTAGTGGTCGTAGTAGTAGGTAGCCACCTCCTTGGTCGGACTAAAGGAGCGGCACGTGCGCACCCTTTTGAATTGAGGAGGAAACGTGCGCACTTTAATCATAAATAAAAAAATAGTTGTTTCCGATGAAATAACCTACAGAGACGAGTATCGGTGACTTAATCTCCAATAAAATTTGCCTTGAGTTTGATGCTTACTAAAAAAAAAGCTAGTAACAGAACGACGCACTTTGAGCACTATATCTGACTGACCAGAAAATATTGCCAAGGTAAACTCCCATGGGCGTAACTTCCCTGGTTTTAGCAAGGTATAGCGAGGGTTGGGCCGCATGATTTAGCGGTGATGAAAGATGGAAACTAGACACGAAGCGCAGGCCGTAAGGAAGTGCGCGTGTGCTACCTCTCGTTTAGTCCTTGGAATGTCCGCTGGATGGCGGTGCTTCTACATGGAGAATATATGATGAAAAGATGCGAGATGGTGGTATTTGGAGTGTTCTCTAGATGGACAGACGAACGAACAGACAGATACACGGCCACACGGACGGACGGACGCAGGGATGGACGCACGGATGGACAGACGGACGAACGAACGCACGAGAGGACGGACGGATGGAAGCAGGAACAAACGGGCGGACGGAGGCGCAGACGGACTGACGGATGCTTCGCCCCACTCATCATCATGCACACCGCGGATATGCTGTGATTTTTTTGTTTACAACATATCCATTTCTTGGCCAACCGACCAGGTTGGATGCGGCGTTGACATAGGACACCATCGTTATAATGACCATAGTCATCACCGTGCTTTGCTATAGTGAACTAGATTAGTTAGTTCACTGTAGCTTTGCTGATGGGGTAACTGCGAGGCCGCAACTGTAGCAGCAACAACATGCGTTCGGTTCATCGATGGCAAGCTCGCCAGCTTCGTTAACGCGCACTTACAACGATTAAAAGCGTCGCGCTCGAGTTCCCACGGAATAAACGGCGGGAAAAGTTCGTTTCGCGCATTTATTTCGTACGTAACAGTGGCGATCGACCACTTGACCAATGACGCGACCGAAGCGGCAGCCAGTGGGCGTCTTTTGTTTGGCGACACGTGACCACCCCGTTCGCACGACACTCCTGTGCCGTCAATGGCAGAAACTATCGTTCGCGAGCTTTGTTGCTGAGCTAATTGGTACGATTGGATTGATGAGGTGTACAGCTGAATTCAGTGATTAAAGTGTCTTGAGTTATATTTCGGCTGCTTGTATATAAGATAAGGCCGGCTATCCGAAAATTGCTTATTTGAACAGCCACAACGAGAACTGCTGCTGCTGTTGCTACTACTACTACTACTACTACTACTACTACTACTACTACTACTACTACTACTACTACTACTACTGCTGCTACTATCACTACTGCTACAACAACAACAACTAATACTACTACTACTGCTACAACTACTAACTACTATTACCCTTCTGTGTCGACATGTGGATAACTTTTCTTATTTATTTATTTTAGGGTTAGGTTTTCTATTCAAGTTATCATCTATTACTAATAAAAGAATATTTATAGTTCATTTCCGTGAGTACCAAAATTTCGCTCTCAAATTTGCAACATTTTCATTTTATAACCTTCATTAATCTAAAATTGAAAAAAAAAAAATAATTATTGACCAATCCCCCACAGTGGGCATGAGCCTCAAGAGATATGTCATCAAGAACAAGTACTACTGCTACTAGTAGTAGTGGGACATTATAAAGTAAAAATAGACCTATTGATTGATTGGATTGGTATGTGGGGTTTAACGTCCCAAAACCATCATATAAATAATAGAGACGGCGTAGTAGAGGACTCCGGAAATTTCGACCACCTGGGGTTCCTTACCGTGCAACCGAATCTAAGCACAC